TTGCTTTCTAGCACATAGAAAAAGGAGATTATAGAATATGATAGGTGTCTTTACTGACGAACATGGCGCTAATTTTCAACACAAATGGGTAAACGAAGCCTTACAGCTAAAATTATGGGTAAACCGAAGCGTAAATAACTACCTATAGCTTTGGAGAGCAAGTGGTCTACTTGAAGGACAAATCTGAATTCAAAAGTTCCAATTAAAATATCTTTTCCATAGCTCAATTGGCCAAGTGGGGTGAGTACGGTTACACCCCTGTTCAGTTATATTGGGTTTCTCCTGAATTTGGAATATGAGAAAATATATATACTTGGGTTTCCAGTAAGGAACCGCAAGCAACTTTGTGTCTATAAACAAATTCATCAACATTCATATACAGGGTGCGATCGATAAATTTAAGCCATTTTAGATTTTTAATTTCGCGCATACGCGTTGTTTTTTTTTTTAATTTTTTATTTTATTTTGTGGACTGCATAGTATAGTAGGGTCAGTTAGGACCGTGTTTGTGAAAGTTCCAATACGCAAAAAGCGCCAATACGAGCATTTCAGAGAGTTTGGCTGCCAATATGAAGAGAGTGCATAGGATTCGGAAAGAGTTGGATGATATGCAGTCTGCATCATGGTGTTTGGAGTGATTACTAGTGATAGCTACGTTACACCCCCATTCATCTTCCCGCACAGCCTCATTTGCAAAAGGGAGGCCTATACCAAGTGCATTGAGGAGGTAGTGCTATCCTGGGTCAAGAAGGTGGCTGCTATATGACTCTATATCTGGCAACAGGACTCTGCACCATGCCACACAAGCAGGAGAATTCAGTAATGGATGTCAGACAATTTCTGCGGCCGCAGCACCCCTTACAATTGGGCATCTAATTCCCCAGATTTTAACTCCCTTGATTATTATGTGTGTGCTGCAGTTGACCGAGATCTCCTTGTAGCATCAAAGATGAACTGAAGGCAAGGATTATGGCAGCATTTACTAACTTAAACAAGGAGACGATCCAGAAAAGTTGCATGAGACTCCAATTTATTTTTCTGTAATTTTGGTAAATATATCTGTTAAAATGAGATGTCAGTTTTATTTTCATTTTTGCATAATATAGACGACAATTTATCTATCGCATCCTGTGGGAGAATAGATATTAAATAGCAGCTATATTTTTTCTAACGATCTTTCCTATGTCTTGAGTCTGCTTATTTTGTGGAAGACAGACTTCGCTAATGCAAAGGGCCTTCTGATTTCTGTGAGACTTCTTCAGCCGAACGACCTGAACAAGTTAAGAAAAATGTGATCAAGCCGTTATCTGTCTAAAGTCACCTATCGTCCATTACTTTAAATGGATGCACGTCAACGTTTTTCATGTATTTTTTCCAGAAACCGGAAATACCATAGAAAAAGCGTCATGGAGAAAAGGTCATAACTTCTAGGAATAATTTTGTACTTATTTAATAAAATATATTTAAAGATACATGACATTTCGATAGTAACATCTGCAAAATCTCTCCGGCCTTTTTTCTAATAAAAAAAAATGTTTTCTTTTTTCAGTGTGTGCCGTTTCTTTTGCAACTTTTTGGATAACTCGAATCTATGTACAGGTAGTGCGATAGATAGTGACTTGGAATGAGAAATATAGGAGCGGAGTTCGAATATGAATCCAGTTCATTACATTCATTTCACCCCAAGGAAGGTGGATAATGCCACTAAGTCCCAAGGGGGTACTGGGGTTAATGAGAATGATACAACTTGACGTATGAGAAAAAAACAATAAAATAACATTATTCATGATGACAGAGGATTGCAACTGTTGCTACGTTTAGATTTTTGAAGATTGTTGGCGGCAGATAAACAAGAAAATCGAATAGTTCCACAGTAGAGAAAGGTCGGAAAAGAAATTATTTGAGTAAAGTATACAATGACATCTAACTAATGCAAGAATAAAAGGAGATGATCTTAGTTGTCAATCTCGCCGGACGCTTAAATTCATGAAGTCGAGACAGCAATGAATAATGATCATAAAAACAGTTGCCATGAAAACATTTATAGAAAAACTAGAAAGAAGCCAGTTTACAGCAACGGAAATATGACTGAAATCGAGATGCCATGCATGGACCAATAACATTACAGAGCCTTCTTTGGATTTTTTTGAGGAATCTCGAGATATGTTCAGCAGCAACAGACTAGATATGATCAGCTGCTGTAAGCTTGGATGTCCGGGTAAGGTCATGGATAATCGCTAGGAATTGTTAATCGGAGAACAGCAAATACCAGCAAAGGAATGAATCCACCTCGTCTCCTCCAGCTATGGGTTAGTTAGTAAGACTTGTCTCACTAGAATAATATTATCTCAACGAAAAAGGAACAAAAATAGAATAAATAAAATGAAAATGGCGGAGAAAATGTTTGAGCATTAAACAACCCATAAAAGTTGATATGCCATTTTATAAACAAAAATAAAATCAACCAATCAGATAGGCAGTAGTATTCAAAACACGGACGAATGTTGTATTTATAAATATGAAAGATGGATACTGCGAAGAAAAAAAAATCTCTGGAACGATACAGCGAAGAAAATTTCCTAGTAGGACATTGTAATTGATTCCATATAATCACTCGATTAGTAGAAAACCAAGAAAGCGAAATGATTTCTTATGAAGAATGTTAGCATCAGCCATACTGATGGAAGGGAAGAATGGTTTTCTATGGTGATTAAAAGATAGCAGTTTCGTTTTAGATGTCGTATTATTATTATACAAAAGCAACCCTGGCAAAGGTTTAAATCAATCCCTTTCTCCCAGATACGATTAAATCAGGGGTTCTCAATCTTTATTTTAACCTATAGACGTCTTTGCTTCCTATTTTACTCTGGTGGGCTTCCGTAGCTTTTCGGTTTTGTAAAAAAATCCTATTGTATTTTTATAATTAAATATTATTAGAAATTGTATTAGAAATTGTTAAAATATTTTGGTTTGGGTTGGTTTGGTTTACGGCATATCAACATCTCAATGGGTTATTTAATGCCGATAAAATTTTTATTGCTGGTAATATTTTTTTCCAAAAATGTATTGCTGCTAATATTTTTTCCTTACAAAATGTATTGCTGGAATATTTTTTTCCTTCAAAAATATATTGCTGGTAATAATGTATTGCTGTTAATAATTATTTACAAAACTTTATTGCTGTTAATATTTTTTTCCTTCACGCTGGTTAACTATTTGCGCATATTTGGGACCCTAAAATGTGCTACCACCCCGGGTCAGGGTGGACCTGGGAACACCAGCAATTAAGAGGTGATTCCAAGCTCCTCAAAACCTCCTGATCAGAGGCCTTGCTGTTGGTCGTAGTTTATCGTCTTACCAAGGACACGTATGTAAATTATCGTCATACCCAGGACGGTAAAATATTTTGTGTATTGCAATTTATTTATTGCACATACCGAGCTAAATTCTATGGTACATGGTGATTTTCTAAGCGAAGCTTAGATGTGACACAAGGCCGAAAGTGTGGAGCACCCAGAGAGGATCGAACTCACTATTCAGTCGTAATTCATCTACCGAGACATTACACCACTTTGAAGTGTTTATGATTTTACAAGCGTAGGTTGGATTTGGCACAAGGCCGAACGTAAGGATTGAACTCATAACTCAGTCGTAGTTACCCTAGCGCGTCAACTTGCTATCCATTATACCATAGTGAAGAGCCCAAATTCTATGAAATTTCAATGGTCTTAATATAGGATATATGTCATAAATATACAAGATCATATGACATAAATATACAAAGACATATTTATAAAAAAAAAAAAAAAACTCTACTTTAGCGCTCCTTTACTCAATCCATGACTTATGGTTGATGCCTCTCTGCTAGTTTTGCAATATTCCCCTCCAGCGTTGTCAAAGATAATCAAAAATAACCTCCTTGAATCAAGCCGAGTCGTTTACAAAGTTTGGTAGAAAATTAAAAACCGCTAACCGTAAAATATTTCGATCAGACTGGACTCATTAGCCTTAGTCGGCAACCAGTCTGGGAGAAGGTCAAGTATGGATTAAAAATAATCGTATGTAGCTCTGGTGAAACATATACTCTTCAGCTAAGGTAAAGGTTGTGGAGATTACATTGAGGATGTAATGTCGTCTGCGGTTCGACTACTTCTTAAATATTCTATGTTTTTTTTGTTTTTTTTTTTGTTTTTTTTAATAATGATTATATATTTATTCATGTGCCGACTCAAAATGTTGCGTTTTCAAGCAAGAACTTAACAGAAAATTTCTACTTACTGTTAAATTGAAGTTACATCGTTAAATCAAATTTCTATCAACAGTTTGTTTCATTTACACACAACTAAACCATCTCTCCCTGAATCTAAACCTAAAAGAGAATGCTGAAAAAAATCTCAGCCCCACACAGAAAGGATTCCGCCCAATATTTTTGATGTTTAGTTATTTGGACAAATCTTTTGATGTGGATCAAGCAGAAAATTATTCAACACCCCCACGCATGTCTCATTACACTAACCGTATTTAGCAAACAGTTTGTTTGTTGTGTTTTTGTTTGTTTTTTTGTTTGTTTTTTGGGTTTTTTTAATTTTCATTTAGTTTCATGTTTATTTTCCCCGGAAGGAATTTTGGACGCTTTCCACTGATCCAACCAAAACATTAATTCTGGCATTTTTGTCTTTGAATGATTCAAGAGAGGAAAGAAATGTGTATGGGTGGAAATTATTTTTCGGTATTTTTTTTTTTCTTACTCAAGAATTTCCGCAAAGCCCAGACTATTTGTGGTTAAAAACGTGTCATATTTTCTCCCGTGGCGAAACAAATATTTAGATGAATCATATCGTCAAATTCTGAGAGAGCGTCCTGTCTCTCCTCAGCCTCTTCCACGTTAAACACCCTAACCCTAACCCCTTTATTACTATTCAAAAGAATGACCTGTCGCTCTCTATCGCTGTCGATACTTGGCATTATACACTTGGCGGTGGCTAAGCAATGCTCGGTGAATGACTCGCGACGCGCGAGATATTGACAAAAAAAATAATTTATTCCCGTCTGCACACTGTTCCCCGTTCTTCCAAAATATTCACCCCGTCCAAGACATTCCCGCTTCTAGAAGTTTCCGCTTTTCTGTAGGGGCCGTACTTTCCCGTTCATCCACCACGCTAATTTCAATGTCGTTTTTGGGATTCCTGAACTATTGAGTGTTTTGTTGGTGGGTTTGAATAGGCAGGAATGGTGTTGTTTTTGTTATTATTATTATTATTATTATTATTATTATTATTATTATTATTATTGTTTTTGTTGTTACAGCATTCCTCGTTCTCTTGTTGATTCACTTGTTTTGGTTATTAACGTCGCTAAATATAGCAGAAATATGAGTCTTTTTTGTTGAGATTGTTAGTAATGGGAAATGAGTAAGCTAACTAACACAGTTTAGTAAATGGGCGCGAGAACGGAGACTTAAATGGAGGATAATGGGAGAAAAGCTGTACAAATCTACAAAGGACAGGAAGCTGTGGAGAGCCACGAAAGCTAACATACAGAGCAAACAGGATACATAAACGATAAATAATATTATTAAGAGTAATGGCAGAAACTTTAACCATCTATTTATTACTTTTATTACTATACGGGTTAAATAGCAGGAAAAAGTGAGTCCTATAGCCTTGGCTGTCAACCAGTCTATCGCAGAAACAAAGGACAACCTACTGCGAGAAACACCTAGTCAGTCATGAATCGAAAGAGACATGATCGCCCAATCGTGTATCACGTATGGCACTTAACGGACTGTTGGTTCTAGCATGAAAACAATGTTAAGAGTTCAGTTGATTTTACTTTGATATATGTTGTGTATACTAGTGTATAAGTCGACTTCATGTACATAGGACAGACTGAGTTCTATAGCCTTGGGTGGCCATCGTTCTCAGAGAACGACAACTGAATTGAAAACCTCCAACTAATTATTTTTTTTCATCTTGGTTATTATATCTGTTAATATCGAGACAATGTTTCAGTCCCATATTTTCTGGAGTTCATCAGGTGCTTAATGGTGTTCTTTTGTCATTGTAGGGTAATAAAAGTAAAAGGTAAATTGAATGAAAATCAAGCTCTACTTCATCCTTTATGAGCAATGCACGATGTTTGCAGTCGGGTTTGTTACATTGACTTACGAGCAAATACTCTTGGGAAATGTATGAATTGGTCTCTTCTGTCCCTCTCCAGCTATGGTATCAATGACAGGACAGACTTGGTCTTATAGCCTTGGTTGACAAGCTGTTTACCGCAGAAAGCAATGACAACCTACCCCTGGAAAATATTCTGCCTAGTCAGTCATGAATCAAAAGGGACATGATCGACCAAGCTTGTATCATGTATGACACATAACTGACTGATTGATTTATATTAGCAGTAATAACGTGATCTGAGTTGATTTTCTTTTGTCTTAGGAGCTACTTCCAAATTTCTACCTGAAACCTGAAGAGACTGAAGTCAACAAACCATGTTTATTGTTTGAATTCGTTGGATATGTAGCTGACAATCACAGTACCATTTTTCTTAACTGTATCATGTAGTACGTTGTGTATCATAGTTTAGAGTTTCATTAAAACACCGGTTCACGTATAATTACCAAAGTTAAGTAACGTCGAGCTAAGTTAATATCTATATGGGTGACCGCTTGAAAATACCCGGTACTGTAAACTTGGACGGGTGGATGGTAAAATCGATAACGGCTCGGAATTGAATATGGGAGAGAAATTCCGATTTCAGTTGGGTTCGTTATATTCACTTACGCGCAAATGCTCCTGGGAAAGTTATGAATACACGTCTTCTCCTTTCAGATATAAATTAATTTGTAGGACTAGTATCGCTAAACAATTATTATCTCCAAAAAATATTACAACCTCACAATTATTATTATTTTCTGTGTACTATTTACATTATTCGGACTATTGTCCTCATTTTTGTTGCCATATTTATCACAACGTTTCGGCCGTTGTACGCTCCGGCCTTCTTCAGGTGGTTGAAATGTCGAACTGAACCCTTTATTTCATTTCGCTCACTGGGGTAGAGTGTTCAAGTTCCACGTGCCATATGTAATGGATGTGAGTTATCAATTATCACCAGTTAATTCCCCTCCCCAAGTTCTCCACCGCCTTAACCAGGTATTGAACTCACACACTTTGGGTCCTGTCACTGTACGTAACTAACGCCTTTATCCACTGTGACATGTGTCCTTGAGGCACAGTGGATAACGAGGATTTTCTGTCTTTTCTTAAATTGCGGTCTTCTCTAAGCATTATATTATTATTATTATTATTATTATTATTATTATTATTATTATTATTATTTTCTTCCTTTGATTTCTGTTGTATATACATTTCCCTACGGGTCCCAACCAGAGAGTTTGGTCATAAATGGCCTCATGATATTTCCTCCTGATTATCTTTATCAAAAAACAAGGATCACACACTTTTTACATAAATAAATCTCTTCGTAATTGCTGAGCTCTACCTGTGTGTACAATTTTCAGTATTTTATTATTATTATTATTATTATTATCATCATCATTCGATTTCTGCTATGGACATACTACCTACCAAGTCTGCGGAAAGACCTAAGGCAGGTCGTGGTGTGTTGTTATGGCCACATTTCATGTTAATTTTTTTTTTTTTTTTTTTTTTTTATCTCCGATGAAGTTGCTAGCGTTACATAGACAAAGTTCTCCTTAGTGTGTGTGCTGTACTTAATAAGACAATTTTCTGTATGTCTCTTAAGCTGGGGTTTCAGGGATTCTTTCAATGTGTTGTTTTGTTCCATTTTTATAATTCCAAGTGCACCTATTACCACTGGTATTATTCTTGTTTTCAATTTCACATTTTTTCTATTTCAATTTCAGGTCTTTGTATTTTGATAGTTTTTCAAATTCCTTGGTTGCTATGTTACAATCCGCTGGACAAGCCATATCAATTAGTAGGCAAGTTTTTTCTTATTATTATTATTATTATTATTATTATTATTATTATTATTATTATCACTTAGTGATAACTTTGTTTTGTTTATTAACTTTTTTTTAATCCCATGTCCTTTCAGAAAGTTGACGATTGTGGCTCTCCACAGATTCCTTTCACTTTATTATCAGTGTATATGCATGTCTTTACTTTGAAACATGGTAGAATTGTTTGTCGTTGATATCAGCCAGTTTTGAATACATAACGCTTCTTCTCCTAGACTGACTCTTACCCAAGTCACGAGAGCACAATCTACTTTACTACTTAGGATTTTGACATAACTGTGACGAGAAGAAATGTATTCCTGTTTTTCCCAAATCATTTTTATCATGACGCTTCGAGCTTTTTTAAAATGTGATAGTTATACTCGATACAACGACAGAAAGTCTAACTTTGCATTAATAACTGGTAACAAACAATATCGGCCCCGAAGGTCTAATCGGCGATCTGGGTTCAAATCCCGGTCTACCCACATTGCCCTGATGGTATGAATTTGTTTCTTCTCCCAACACCTGTAGTTTAAATAACTGGATAGACTGAGTTCTCTTGTTTTGTTTGGCATCTTTCCTCGTAGAAATATATCGTTGTATTCAAAATTCTGGAAAATCAATGTGTAGCTACTTCGCTATAATTCCCAGGAAGTCATAGAAATTCACAGAAAATGAGTGTGTAGAAAGCACTGATCACTTACGCCCTGAAGGGATTTCTTCTTCTTCTTCTTCTTCTTCTTCTTCTTCTTCGATTTCTTCTTCTTCTTCTACTTTATCTTCTTCTTCTTCGATTTCTTCATCTTCTTCTTCTTCCTCGATTTCTTCTCCTCCTTCTTCTTCGATTTCTTCTCCTCCTTCTTCTTCGATTTCTTCTTCTTCTTTTTCTTTTTCTTCTTCTTCTTCTTCTTCGTCTTTTTCTTCTTCTTCTTCGATTTCTTCATCTTCTTCTTCTTCTTCTTCTTCGATTTCTTCATCTTCTCCTCCTTCTTCTTCTTTATGCTGCTTCGTTTCAAGACACAGACTCTCCACATCTTTCTGTCTTGTATCGCTTTTATCAGTTCTTAGCCCTTGCTAAGTTTCCCGACTCACATCCCGCCCACTATTCGCACATGACCGTCAAATAAGTGGTTCACTGCTTTCCGCTATCTCATTGCCCTCAATATGGCCCGTGAGGGCTAAGTCTTCCTGGCCCATCCACGTCAATAGGTGACCAAGTTATTTCAGCTGTCTTTTGCTGATTTGGCGTATGGGTTCTTTCTGTTGCTATTTTCTTTAAGACTGACTCGTTGGTTATTCACCCCATCCATGGAATTTTCAGCAGCCTTCTGTAGAATCACATTTCTGCTCCCTCTAGATTCTCCCTCATCTGTGTGGAAATTTTCCAACATTCACTGTCATATAAGAGAACGAATATGGTATCATTTATGACACGTGTGCTTAAATCCATCGCGTGTCATTTGTTGTTAATTCTATCAGCATAAAATGATGGATTTTAACTGAGAAAATGCGTAAAACATAGAATTTTAAGAGAGAAAAATATAGACACTATATTTTAAGCAAAAACCGATTTTTTTTTGTTTTTGAGATAATTTAATTATTCAATTATCCGGATTTGTTAATTAATCAGACATATTTTCTCAAACCTTCACACAAAGTGTCCGGATAATCGAGGATGTACAGTACTTCGAACAAAACAAACTTGATGAGACGACGAGAACGACGATGATAACAATGATGATAATGATGATTGTAATAGAGATGGCGGAATGGTAAAAAAATAAAGTAACGAAATACAAAAATAGAAATTCTCAAAATCCCTTTATGGCGTCATTCGACAGTTATTCTATGACTGTTGCCGTTAGACATGAATGGACATTCCTGGGGATAATTCGACTATGGCCGATACCCTTTGCCTTTATTATTTTGGCTTAGTTCTTTGATTTCTTTGATTTCGCATATTTTCACCAATTATGTTTATTTTGTCGTCTCTTCACCCTTGACAAATATAGTCGCCTTTCTATTTAGAAAATATCTTCATTCATTTCTAGATACCGATGAGTGTGCTTGCTCGCTTTTCATTTCTTTCCGTCCTTTTTTTTCTTTTCTTTTCATCACGCTATTCTCTAAGATGTTAACACTTTCTCACTCGCTCCTATGTCTCGTTTTCCCGACTTTGAATCTATTGTCTCTGTCTCTCACTCTCTGCCTTTTTATTTATTTTTTGGTACTTCTTTTCAGTCTTCCTTCTCCATTACTGTTTCTTCTTTTCTGTCTTCTGTCTTTCGCATTGCCGTTTTTTCTAGAATACTTTTTTTTTCTCTATTCAGTTCTCTGTTTTTTTGGGTTTTTTTTTTTTGCTTCTTTTCTCTTTTAGCATTTCATTTTTGGTCTCTCTTTTTCGCTTCCCGTATGATCACTGAAGTTAAGCAACGTTTAGCCAGGTTAGTATCTAGACGGGTGACCGCTTGGGAATACCAGGTGATATAAGTTTGGGTGTGCATACGGTGTCATGGAAAATGGCTCGGAATCGCTAATCGTTAATTAGGTTCGTTATATACACTTACCCGCAAATATTCTTCGGAAAAAGGTATGAATCCATTTCTTCTGCCTCCAGCAATAGGTTAATTAGTAAGACGTGTATCACTGAACAATTATCCTCTCTTCCTCTCAAAACAAAATCCGTACAATCTAAAATATGTTTTTCTGGCTTTAAATAAAAGGTTAATAAGCCGTATAAAACGAATCAATAAACTTTCTAAATTTTGGGGGCATATTTGTTAACTAGCAGTATAACCCGTCTTCGACCGGGTGTTTCATTACTGAGAATTTTTGCTATTCACATGGAGCAGTTTAAGTTTAAAATCAGCCCGCCCGAAAATCAATATTAGTAACAACAATGGGGTACAACTGAGGTACATCCCCAAATGGGTGTGGATGGGTAACAATTTGAATGTAGGGTGGTACTGAAAATGTCCATTTTTGTGTTCTCAATCTTGCAAGAGAGGAACGTCTTCCATGGACCATCATCATAATATACGATAATTTGTATTTATAATATTTTCTTTTCTTAAATTCTAATAATCTTTTGCGTTAGATTTCAACTCTCTAAATTGATTGTACGCTGTTTTTTGCAGACATTAAATTTTGCTTTTGATTTTTGCGCAAAGTGTAAAAAATTAGTTTTTTTCGATTTTTCACCTTCAAAGTTGTCATTTTTTCAAGCCATTTTGAACTCAACACCGGCACTGAAGAATTATCTATCAAACAAAACAATAATAAATCAACGAAATCGAAACTGTGGAAACCCATAAACAAATTCGATCACACACATACACACATACATACACACACATATTGAGAATTTTATATATAGAGATGCCTTGAATTTCCTTCTATTTTATTTTTTCTTTAATTTCTTTGTCTCATTTTCCAATAATTGTTTTGTATTTTTTTTACTAAATTATTAATTTTATTATTATTTTATTATTTTTTTTTAAATTTCTTAAAGTTTCATTTTGTTTTGTCTTTTCTACATTATTTTATTTTATTTTATTTTTTTTTTTGCCGTTACTCGAATGATCACCGAAGTTAAGCAACGTCAAGTCTGATAGTTGACTTCTTGCGTATACCAGTTACTGTAAGATTGGATCCGTTTTTTAGTGTAATATATAACGTCACGGAATTGGAAATCGGAGAGCTGAGTTCCAATTCCAGTCGGGTTCGTTATATTCACATGCGCAAATACCCTTGAGAAAGGCATGAATCTATTCTCTTCTCCCCCACCAGGACCTCCAATCGGTTGTGAACTGGGGCAGGAATTGGCTGGTCAACTTTGATGCCTCAAAAACAAAACTGTTCTCTATTAATCACCACAGAGATCCTTCTCTGCCCTCCATTAGAATGTCTGACGCTCAACTTCTCGAGAACACTTCTCTGCGGCTGCTCGGTCTCACCTGAGATGGAACAAATATATTGAGTCAATTGCTTCGCCCACCGCAAAGAATGTTGGCTCCCTGTGCCGTGCCAGGAAATTTTTCTCCCCGGAATCGATCCTCCAGATCTACAAATCAACAATTCGCCCTTGCATGGAGTATTGCTGCCATATATGGTCTGGAGCCCCTTCTGTTTGCCTCGGGGTTCTTGATAGGCTCCAGAGGCGGATATGCAATATAATTGGCCCTGCTCTGGCATCTCGTCTACAGTCACTTTCTCACAGACGTGCCGTCGCCTCTCTCTGTCTGTTTTACAAATACTTTCATGGCAATTGCTCCGAGGAGCTGCATTAGCTGGTTCCCAGACTTCATGAATTCAAGCGCCCTACGAGACTGGCATCCCGCTCTCACCCCTTCACTGTCGAAACTTCTAAATGTAGCCGTCTCTTCTACTCCAGTAGCTTCATGTCTCGCACCTCTCGCCTGTGGAACTCCCTTTCCTATTCCAGTTTCCCTGAGAGCTATAATCACCAGCTATTCAAATGTAATGTCAATCGACATCTCCAGTTGCC